TGCATCGCTGTCCGCGGCGGTCCTCGGCTGGCAGGCACATAGAGTCTCGGAACACATTAGAATCAGCTGATGCTTCCGATGCCAGCAGTTCGGTCATCTACAAGCCAACTGCAAGAGTCGAAAACAATTTTGTTCCTACTGTGCTGAGGAGCACGGCATCCGGGACTGTACAGCGCAAAATCCACTGTGTATCAACTGCAGTGATGCCAATGCTCGATTCGGAACTGGTTTCGACTACGACCATCCTGCCTACGACTCAGCCTGTATGCAGTACCAACGTCGTGTACAATCCATCCGAGATAAGACAAACTATGAGTACTAATAATCAGTCCTTGCCTTCTCTTGGAAATGCATCGGCTGATACTATTAACATGGATTTTATCCGCAGTGGACTTTCAATTAAATGTATACAGATCAATCTTCAACACGCTAAGGCTGCTGTTGCTCAACTTACGCATTACGCAGTAGAACGTGAGGCTGATCTCATCTTTGTTCAGGAACCTTATATTAAGGACGGACTTGCTGTGGGTTTCCCGCTTCAGTGGTCTATCTTTCAAACAGGCGATTTGGAGAAACCACCCAGGGCCATCATTATCAATTGCAACAAGGATTGGAAACCGACTGTCGTCGCAACTAATAGAGACAATGTAGCCATTCTTCTTGATGTGCAGGAAACCTCCATGCTTTTTATTTCACAATATTCATCTCCATCCGAGTCCATTCTTCCTTCATTGACTTTTCTATCAACTACTCTACAGCGCATTAAAATCCCTCTTCAGTTTATTGTGGGTGATTATAACGCTCATAATACAACTTGGGGTTATGCTTCAACGGATGAAAAAGGCAATTCTTTGGAGGATTTTCTATCAGCACATCATTTATTTCTGCATAACTCAATTGATGCCCCTCCAACCTTTGACAGAATTCATTCATGTGGATGGCCGGATCTGACTATAGTTCCACTTCTGCGGCTTCTCTTCTCCAGAACTGGACAGTTGAAGATGAAATTAGTCTTAGCGACCATCGCTATATTACATTTACAATAGCTCAGCCTACAACCATTCAAATTATTCGACGCTACAATCTGCCAGGCAAACGGATACGTGCCTTTACTGATCGTGTGAAAGCATTAGTAAATGATCTCGATGGTCAACTTTCCTCAGCCAATACTCGGGCTGATTTGGAGAATTTCACGGTTGTTTTACAAAAGGGTTTCAACAAATCTGTAATGATCTTTTACCACAACGCCATGCCAAAAAGCTAAATAATATACAATGGTGGAACAGTGAACTTCGTTCCCAGCAGAAGAAATGCCGCGCTTTACGACGGCGAATCAAATATGAGCGACGAATGCATCTACCACCAACTTCACTCCCTCTATATCAACAGGAGAGAGCAAAATATAAACGTTCAATTTTACAAGCGAAATTGAATTCCTGGCATGCCTTCTGTACCGAATCGCATGATACATATGGGATTCATCATAAGATAATGACAGGCAAATTATTCAAACCTGCTCAATTATTTCTTCCTCTTGGCTCAACAGCCTCACAAGATTTTACCAAAGATACTTTGACTCATATCTTGGATACTGTTTTTGGATTGTCTGATCTCTATGAGGGTACTTCCCATCACTCATCGATATCTGAAGAAGAGCTCTCATCCACTGCGTCTCCGGACAAAGAAATTACTTTAAAGGAATTAAAATTCATTGTTGCCCATTTGCCGAAACGGAAAGCTCCAGGCCCGGATGGCATTGACTATTGCCATCGTCAAAACTGCCATCTTGGCCTCACCAGTATTTTTTGTTAAATTTTTGAACAAGTTATTGGCAACTGGTACTTTTCCTAGGTCTTTTAAAATAGGCCATGTTGTCCTGTTTTTAAAAAAGGATAGAAACCCGACTGAGGCTACTTCATTTCGACCCATTTGCCTACTTTTAATAATATTGGAATTAATAATTGTCCATATGAGCCAGAAGTTACTTCTAAAGTTTCCAAATTACGAATCGAAACTTCTAATTCGTCATATAATTTACGTAAAGCCTTTACGTTAGCAGAATTTTTAACGGCTTCTAAATTGAGAATTTTATTCATGAATGAATTAATGATCAGGTCTTTTCGACCATATCTGTCCTTTAGTAATGCTACACAACTATCATAATTACTTTCTGTTTAACTCAAAGCCTGACACAACATTCGAAGCTTGTCCCCCGTTAAGAATGTTTTTAAGTATACAAATTTTTGTATTTGTGAAAGCGTTTCGTTTTTATGTATCGAATTTTCGAAACTATTCCAAAATTCATTCCATTGTTTGGGGTCTCCCGAAAATTTATCAATCATTAATTTTGGTAATTTCAACGTACTACTCCCACTAGAACTGGAACTTACATGCAAAATTCCATTACCACTAGACTGGTTTAAATCAGAACTTTGGGGATTCCTCGGAGGAATCAGACAACAAATTAACTAGTGAATCGAATTTCTTAGGCATGATTTGGAATTCCATTGAAGACAATATAAAGTTAAATTTAAAAAATTTAATTGACTTTTCTACTGAAAACTTTACGAAACAAAAGAAATTACAACCAAATTCAGAATCGTTGGAGTTAAGGAAAAGTATTATTCTGACTGTACCTGTGATTAACAATGAATCCCCAATTTTGCATATAGAAAATTCAGTTCTTTTAGAAATTACTTCGAATTACGCCTATGTATTTAGATTTATTGGGAGGCTTTCGGAAAAGGTCTACAGAGAATGGACCTTAAGTGCTTTTGAGATTAAAGCAGCTGAACATTATTGGGTAAAATTACGCAACGAGAATCGTATCAAGCGGAAATAATTAAGTTATCAAATAAAAAATCAATTCTCGATTCTTCCATCTACTCCCTTAATCCAAGGCTTTGATGAGGAGGGAATTCTTCGGTTGAAAGGTCGCATTGAATTTGCAGACTGTCACGAGAATTTAAAACATCCTATTCTATTACCCTCCAAATTCAAGTTTACCGAATTGATCATCATTGGACTCGCATGAAAGGGTATTCCATGCTGGAGTTAATTCGACACCAACTCAGAATCAGAGACAAATATTGGATCATTAAAAGGAAGACAGCGTGTTAAGACTATCATCAACAAATGTGTGATATGCAGACGATATAGTGCTCGTCCTGGGGAACAGGATATCGTTCCACTTCCGCCAGACAGAATCCAAGAGTCGCCTCCATTTGCTGTGAACCGGGTTGGACCTCGCCGGTCCATTTTTTTACGAGAGACAGGCAAGGTAAAGTTTACATGCTGTTGCTTAACGTGTGCGGTCACTCGTGCCTTAACATAAGAGATAGTAACTGATCTCAGCACTGAAAGTTTTTTTGCTACTTTCCGAAGATTTTTAGCTCGCCGAGGACTGTGTACCATCATGTTACTCCGATAATGTCAAGACTTTTAAAATAGCAGATAAAGAACTAAAACATATTTTCAAAACTTTGAGAAATTTCCAAATTATGCTTCCAGAAGAATTATTTTCTGCTGAAAGCATAATTTGGAAATTTATAATTGAAAGGGGTCCATGGTGGGGAGGGTTTTGGGAGCGTATGGTACGAACGATAAAATCCAGTTTAAGCAAAATTATTGGTCGATCATCCCTTACCGTGTGAAAGAGCTTGAAATCAGTGCTTATTGAAATCGAGGCAATGACTAATTGTAGACTAATTACCTACATGTTTACCGATCCCAATAAGCCTTCTCCACTAACACGCTCTCATTTTCTGGTTGGTAGACGATTACTATCTCTGCCTGCTAATAACATAACATTAAATAATTTAATTGGATCAAGAAATTCAATTATTAAATGATATAAATATTATCAAGATATTTTTAATCATTTTTGGAAGCGTTGGAGATCAGAGTATCTTTCTAATCTGAGATCTGCCAATATTTGTCCTCCACACCCTAACGCATCTCAGTTTAAAATCACGATATTGTCTTGATTCATGACGACAACATCCCAGAAATCTTTGGACAATAGGTAAAATTTTGGAATTAATGCCAGGCAAGATGTAAAATAAATCTTGCATAATTAAAACACCTACTGGTACCTTAAAAAGGCCTATACATTGTTATATAATATGGAACTTAACTAATGTTTGTATTTGTATTTTTAGGTTTGATTCTCCTGACCTTGCTGATAGTACATTAATGTTTTGTAAATTTATGTGCTTATAATATGTATGCATGTGTTTGTTATATTTAACCATTTCTCCAGGATTTATTGTCGAAATTTAATTGAATTTCTAGATATATTATTGAAAGATGAACTCTCCACCGAGTCGTGGGGTGTTGTGTATTTGAAAAAAGGCTAGAGGGCACTGTTGCTCGCTTAGTTGAGAATAAAGTTTGTTCATGTTTAAGGCGGGCGCCTAAGAATAACCTCTGTATATAGTAATTAAATATTGTCAAAAATGAAAAAGTGTTAAAATTAGTGACTCACTGAACCACCTTGCAAGTAAAGTATTATATCGATTGTAGAAGGGTATTACTCTAAACTTTTGATCGCAGTAACAACTGACTCGGATGCCGCACCATCCTCGATAATAAAATTCTGCTCAGTTCTGTACAGCGTGAAATGCGTCATAGCCTACGTCTCGACGCATCCGTTGAACAGCTGCGAAAAATAACCCGACAGCAAAAAACGCCGTCTCTGCTTCGGCGCTCTTGATTATGTAAGGCAACTCCACTGAAGGGTAATACGCAAAGTAAATATCACATCCCCTGATGATGTCTGCTATCATTAAAAGCAAATTTCAAATTTTGATTATGCATTCAATTTAAATAAAAATTATAAAATTCCACGAATGTCCTTGGAAACCGATAACTGTTTACCTCAAACAAGGAGCAGCTTCGACTGACAACTTATTCTCTACAACAAGCGACAAACTCCTCTAGCCTTTTCTTCAATTACACACACTCTTCCAGCGCTTGGGAAAATTTTTGAGAAGATACTGATGACTCGTCTGCGTTTTCATCTACATCAGCACCAAATTATTAGTTCTCGACAATATGGCTTTCGGCCCGGTTCATCTACATTACATGCACTGCATGATATCACACAAGACATCCTGAATAATAAATTCTCTGGCTACCACACCGCATTAGTCAGCTTAGATCTTAAAAGCGCATTCGATAGTTTGTGGTGGGTAGCTATTAAGCAAGCTCTGGTAAACTCCAATTGTCCGAGTAATATTTATAAAGTTTTAGAACACTATTTGCAAGACAGACGTCTTATTGCAGTACATCCAGCGGGAATTATCGAAAAAGTACAGACAAGAGGATGCCCGCAAGGTTCTTGCGCAGGTCCTCAACTCTGGAACCTCACTTTTAATAAGATCCTTCAAGCTCCCTGGCCTGATCATACGCATATATATGCGTATGCCGATGATGTGGCTCTTGTTATCCGGGGACATTCTCGCGAAGTTTTACAGCAAAATTGCAATGAGTCTCTTCAACTCTTTCAACAGCATTGTGATGATCTGAAATTGATTATTGCTGAAAACAAATCCAAGGTACTTCTTGTACCTAAGAAAGGAGGTTCCTTGGTCAGGCGACCAAGAATTGTCCTCAATGGCCACAGGTTGCAAATCCTCAGAGAAATCAAATATTTGGGAGTTATCATTGATGATAAGTTAACCTGGATCCCACATATTCTGTCCATTAAAAAACGAACACAGATGATTGCCAAACAGCTTCGTTATCTTCAGGGATATCGATGGGGATTAAACCACCATATCCAAAAAATTCTATATACTACTGTCACAGAAAAGATTGTTACTTACGCCGCTGCTGTTTGGGCACTCCCCATGCAGGGGAGAAAAGTCAAACATCTTTCAACCATCCAACGCCCTTTTGCCCTGAGTATAACTCGGGCATATTATACAACTTCTTCGGACTCACTAAATGTTCTAGCCGGTCTACTCCCTCTTCATATTAGAACTGAGGAAGAGGCTGTTCGTCAATTACTTGTGCAACTACGCAGGCCTATCACATTTGATGGAGAACATTATTTGCCTGATGACTATGAAGCAAAACTGAAACCTTTTAGTATTCATCCAGCAGACTATGGGGTTGGAGTTAGGCTCCATATTCCACCATCAGTGTTTCGTAATTCTTCAAGCCACGTGATATATACTGATGGCTCAAAGATAGATGATAACGTAGGAAGCGCTTTTGTTGCTTTTCATGATAATCTTCCTCTAGCCCACTGGAAGGGACATTTATCTATGCAGAATAGTGTTTTTCAAGGGGAAGCAGTGGCGATAGCACGCGCTATCCGCTACTTGCTGACTCAGAATATAACACAAGCGACAATCAATTCTGATAGCCTTTCTGTCATCCACGCCATTGGCAATCCTGAGCATTCCTCTCCAATTATACGAGACATTCAACAGGACTTACGTGCTTCTCCGTCTTTCACTATTCATATTGCTTGGGTTAAAGCGCATGTGGGAGAATATGGTAACGAACTTGCAGATGCCTATGCCAAGGAGGCGGCTTCTGGTGATGCTGATGAGAATATATCCTTCCTTGGCCACATTCTTTTCTCAAGCGAACTTTACGTCTTCGAGCAATTAGTAAGTGGCAAGAGGAATGGGACAATAGCTTCACCGGTCGACCGACGTACTTTCTACCATCTTTCATATGTGTCGACAGATCGCTGCTGTGGCAATGCCCATCTTTCCCGTTACATTTCGGGGCATGGACCTTTTCCTGAATTCTTCGCACGCTTTGGCATTAGTGATACCAATGTCTGCAGTTGTGGTGAACTCGGCTCTCCGGAGCACTATTTAGCCAATTGTCCCCTGACAGAAGGCCTACACATACGATTTCCTACGCAAAATCGTCAGGCATTTTGCAAACTCTTAGTTAAGCAAAGACACCTGATCCGCAAACTAAATTGCGTAATGGAGAAAGTCTCCAGCATTGGGCTTGACCTATGTCAATCACACTATATGTTTAAGCAATAGGTGCATAACACTCTCTAAGGTGCTTTCAATACCATTCTAGGCGGAAGTGTAAGGACACTCTTTATAGGTGTTCTTCTTTAATACAACTTTTACACAGTTATTCTAGACTGACTTGTATTTGTACTTAAAGCTATTTTCTATAGACAATAATACTTTTCAGGAAATGTATTAACCATGTACTATCTGCTTTTTGTAGCTAGACTGTTAATAACAAATGAAATATAAGTTTGACTGCATCACGTTAGTTTGTGTGTATCGAACTCCATCTATCACCTTTTCAGGTTTGTTAGAAATTTTTATTTTTATATATATATATATATATATATAATTCGTAATCGATTTTGTATTATTATTATTATTATTTTTAAGCCATGCCTTTACATAGTTCTCACGTTGGTTTGATTGTACTGTACTCTTCTATCGATAGTATGCTTTTCTTATTAAGTTGATTGTCTATAAGACAATCATTATCTTAATCATTGTATCATGCTTACAAGTATCTTCATTCAGTATAGTATTATTAGTAAATTATGTTGGTATGTTCTATTGTAATGTATAGTGAGCCTTTGTACTATAACAGAAATTGTAAATGTTTATTTGATGGCATCATGTTAATCTAATTACATTGAAATCTGTCTCATGTTGTAAGAATCTGTCTACTTTTTATTTAGTACACAATTTCAATATCATTGTTTCTTGTCTCATGTTAGCTAGTTTCATTCTTAAGTCAGCAAGTATAGCATTATCAGTAAATAATTCTAGTCGGTCTGCAAATATCGCATTCAGTCAGTAATATAGTTCTGTCGGTACTATAGTTATTGTTGACAATATGGATAGTTTCAGTCAGCAAGTATAGCTTTTTCCGCAAATTCTTCTTTATTTGTATGCAACTTTCTGCCTTTGTATATGTTTTTGTTTAACTATTGCATATTTGAGCCTAGTATTTTTACAGATGACTTGTTTGTTTGTTCCGTACTCTCCTACTGTTCATATGCATTTTTCATTTAGTTACTTGTTTTTTCCCCCTTAATTTTATAATAGCAAGCATTATCATTCAGTCAGCAAGTATAGCATTATCCGCATACTATGTTACTAAGTTCTATTGTACTATATGTTAGGTCAGCTCTTTAACATACCAGAAACTGTAAATGTTAGTTTGGCATCATGTTAGTTAATTGCATTGTACTATCTATCGCTGTATGAATCTGTCAACTTTTTAATTAAAAAGTAAATATTATATATATTATATAGCATATAGCATTTGTATATGTTCTTGTTTACCTATCGAATTTTGAGCCAAGCATTTATACAGATTTTATGTTGGTTTGTTTGTACTGTACTGTATTTTCTACTGTTCTTACGCATTTTTCATTTATCTACTTGTTTATAAGAAAATAATTGTTGTATGCTTTTCTTTTTATATTATATTAGCATGCATTATCATCCAGTCAACAAATCTAGCATTATCAGTACACTATGTTACTATTGTACTATATGTTCAACTGTATTATTTCTGTCAGCTCTTTACCATACCAGAAATTGTAAATGTTAGTTTGATGGCATCATGTTAGTTATTTATTTTGAACTTATCTAATGTAGTAAGAATTTGTCACGTTAGCCTGCATCGGGCTCCCAACTATTTAGCCAGTTTGTATTGTACAATTTTACTGAATGTAAGAACCTTATCCTACTGAGCCGACTACATCCTACTGACTTGCAAAATCTGCAAATTTGAGCAATATACATGAATTACATAAACAAAATATTTAACTTGCAGACTTTGATCTATAGATTTTGTACTACATCTATAGAATATGGACTATAGACTTTGAACTGTGAATTCTGAATATAGACTTTGAACTATAGACTTTTGTTGGAACTACAAACTACTCTTCATCACTACTATTTCTTTTCGTCGCATATTATATTCAAAATTCCGCACATATTTTAAAGAGTTATGTCATATATTATGTTTAAAATTTTTGTATTACATTCAAAATTCTGTACGTTTATAATTATGCTATTTTATACATTATGCTTCAATTTTTTTTACATTCCAAACTATGTATCATTGCAAATTATGTATTCATTTCAAATTATGTATTCATTTCAATTATGTATCATTCCAAATTTTGTATTCATTTCAAATTATGTATCTGTTTGCTAATATCAATAAACGGCTGGGATCACGTAGTGGGGAGACGGCGCTAAACCAATTAACCAAATGGTAAAGGTGTGGTGCCCGTCTTCCCCGTTCCTAAATCCTAAATC